TCTTACCCCAAAAGGCTGAATCCCCAACCTTAAGGGCGGGCTCTCCACACTCCGACCAGTGGCATGAATTCTTACCCCAAAAGGCTGAATCCCCAACCTTAAGGGCGGGCTCTCCACACTCCGACCCGACAGAGCATGTGGGAGGATGTAAATCACGGTGATTCAATGGGTTAGTAGGCAGGGCCAAATGCAGGTTCGAACCTTGGTCTCTTACCCCAAATACTGCCCACTAAACCATTAAGCTAAGCCCGTGCGGGTCGGATGGCATGAATTCTAATTTAACAAAAAGAGAGAATTGTAATTCTGTGAAATTGCAATTCCCTACAATTAAACAATGAAATTTGGCACGCCAATTGCATTGTAAAGGCATTACAATTACGGTGTACTAAACACCCAGTGAAATTTACATTCTTGCAAGATGTGGAATTTATATATTTTTAATATGGAGTTTTTTTTTTGAGAAAATTACATTTTCCCTCCGAATCATATATTTATAACGTTTTTTTTTCTGAATTATTCATATATCCACATTAGTCCTTCAGTTATTTTGAAAGTGATGATTTTTCCCTGTATGTTAAATGAGTGTTTAGATTGTAGAAAATAGGGAAAAATATGTATTTCATTTATTTTTCTGATCCAAAAAATTATTGTTTATATGTGAACAATTAGAATAAATCGAAAAAAGAACAACCACAATTTGTAAATATTATAATTATAATGTAAGCTAATGCTAGTAACTGAATTAAGACTTAAACCCAAATAATTCATTATTGCCATCAGCACGCACTCTCAACCGTCGTCTACCCACACCCTCTATCTCGCAGCAGTACCCTCCCAGTCAATAATAGCCTACTTCTAATATTCCTTGTTCAAGCCAGCAGCAGACCACTTCCTCACCTACTAGTGATCATAATCTGCCAGTCGACAGTGCTCAACGTGAGGCGACTGGCTCGGTGGACGTCAAAAACTCTGATCCGCCACCTGGATGTGAGATATTTGTAGAAGTTCAGCTGACCTCTTTTCCCACCTTCTAGTGATCAAAATCTGCCAGTCGACAATAGTCACAGTCAATCGACTGGCTTAGTGCACGCACAAACTTCTGATCCGCCACCTTCATGTGATATACATGCAGAAGCTACTCAAACCCAGCCCCTCCACCGGTCAATGCGCATTCGACGACAGAATCCTAAGTATTTTAATTCCCACTTTGTTAATATAACAACAAAGCCCGACTTAGCTTCATTATATTACTTGAGCCGACCTTTGTAACTCAGGCCCGCAAGTCAACGCACTGGTGTAATGCGATGAATGAGGAATATCAGGCATTGCTAAGAAATGACATGTGGGATTTGGTACCACCGTCGTCCCACACTCCAATTAGGTGTAAATAGATTTTCCGATCAAGCGAAAATTGAATGGGTCGGTAGAACGGTATAAAGCCCGGCTGGTAGCTAAGGGGTATTTTACAAGAATCAGGTAAAGACTACTTTGATACGTTTAGCCTGGTTACAAAGCCGGCTACAATACAAATTGTTCTGACACTGGCGTTAGCCTATAACTGGCCGTTGCGTCAACTGGATGTTAATAACGCATTCTTGCACGGGACCCTGTCAGAAGACGTATTTATGAAATAACCACCAGGATTTTGTGATCCGAAACGTCCAAGACATGTTTGTTGTTTTAAAAATGGTGTTGAATGGCTTAAAGCAGGCTCCCCGGATGTGGTATATGAAGTTGTCATCTTTTCTTATTTCTTTCAATTTTAGAAAGTCTAAGGCTGAATGTCTAATTACTCTTTATTTGTCTATCAATGTGATGATGTTGTGGAATAATTTATGATGTATGTGGATGATGTGGTTCTAACAGGCAATTCACAATGTTTTTTGGATTACTTTGTCGCTTCGCTGGCAACATGGTTTGCACTCAAGGACTTAGGGTTATTGCATCACTTCCTTGGTGCGGAGGTGATATTGGCTAAGGCTGATATTTTTCTTTCTCAAGCTCAATATATTATAAATATTCTCAAAGAGTTTAACATGCAAGGCGCTAAGCCCATTTCTACACCAGGGTCTACGGTTGAATTGCATGGTGCTGACGACGCAACTCCAACCGATAGCACCTTGTACCGTCGTGTCGTTGGCCTTTTACAATATCTTGCCATTACTAGGCCAGATGTGAGTTTTGTGGGTTGTATTAGTTTTTGAATTCTCCTTCAGTGCTACACTGGCAAGGGGTGAAACGGGTTCTTCGCTATCTCAAAGATACGATGTGTCATGGTTTATTTCTACATCGTGGTGTCGATTTACACCTCAGCTCACAGCCTTTTCAGATGCAAGCTAGGGTGGTGTCCATGACGGTGGTCGGTCAACTACGGGCTATGTTGTATACTTGGGCTCAAATGTTATCTCTTGGCGATCTATTCGATAGAAGGTTGTGGCTCGTTCCTCCATTGAAGCGGAATATAGAGCCATGGCAAATGTCACGGCTAAAATTGTGTGGTTACAAAATTTGTTGATGGATCTTGGGGCCCGGGTCTCCAGGCCACTGGTGTTGCACTATGACAATTCTGGTGCCATTTATGTCTGCAAAAATCGGGTGTATCATTCCAGAATGAAGCATCTAGCTTTTGATTATTTTTTCATACTTGATCTTGTTAGTAATGGCACATTTTTAGTTAACTATATTCGCACGCAAGATCATATTGCCGATGTGTTTACCAAATCCTTGCCGCGTTGGTCATTTGAAGGTTTTTGTAAGAATTTGATGGAAAAAAAAATAATCCTAATGTTGTTTTTACTTTGCTGACATCTTTGTTCCGTAACTTTTCAAGATACCGCAGAGCATTATTTATCCCTACAAAACATATTCTACAGAATAAAAACTTCTAACCATGCAATGACCAACCAAGTATTTTCTGAGTTTCAATTTCATTTTGTTGAATAAGTTTGCTATTACAGATTTCTCTTTGTTTTTATTTTGGCATTCCTGTTATGAATGTTATATATCATTGTTTGGTTTAAGAAAATTAGTAATTGCCCTGTGCGATCTACGGAAAAAAAATAAAAACCCAACCCTAACAAAACCCCAAAACGCAGATAAACAAAGAATCAAAACTATAGACCATCGAAATACCTTGACCATTGGCGAAAGAAATCCCCTTCAGTCGCTTTAACCGTCTGACAGAATAATCAACTATGTGAGACGGCGGACACTATATGGAGAGACGGGAAGCCGATGGGTCAGCGAGGGAAAGCGAACGGCGGTGAAGAGAATACTGCATTATTTTCCTTCTGGGTAGTGATACATAGAGATTTGGAGTGTAATTACTAACGCAAGATACACGGGATTTAGAATCTCTAAGGATGGCACACAGATAGCTCTAAATTACATTGATGCTCTCTATCTAATTAATTCAGCGCCCAACTCAATTAAAAAAGCAAATTAATCACATCTGTTAAACATAGAAAAAAGACGATCAAGACAATCTCACGATCTCATCTAATTAGGGTGGTCTCACTGGATTCAAAATATAGCTTCGAATCCGGTGCACCCCCTAATTAGATGATCCTGTGAGATCCCCTGATATCCATAGATTAATTCCCCATCAATGGTTGAGATCATGAGATCCCCTAGAATAAATTAAAGATTTATCATTAAGAAAGGGTCTGAAAAGTAATTGTATCTGTTTGCCTAATTATGGTTAAAATTATGATGGGATGTTAAGCATGAATTTAGGGATATTATTACAGGAAATATATATATGGAGTGATACATCACCTCTGAAGACAAAAAATTGTGCGTGAGACATAGCAGTGGGGTAGATGGACCGCTAAGGCTGCACAAACAAACATCTAGCGCAAAAAGATGATAGATAGTAGAAGCACAGGTGTGTTCATTACCGGGTCACGGTTTGTGCGTGTTTGTTTGTTGTTGTTGTTTTTTTGTTTTTTTTTTTTTTTTTGGATTGGTTTTTTCGTTACGGAGTTTTTGCAGTAAAAAACCAACAAATTGTATGGGTGTTTGTGCGTATATTGAGATTGAGACGAGTGTGGAAACCAACAAAGGCTGTGAAAACTGTCGTTTTTGGGAGACCGTTTGGGTGTAATTTGGGCATACTGGTGAGTGCGTGGTAGTCTAATATGTCGTGCAAACTGATGGTTATAATGTGTCAAATGTGAATGTGAGGTAATGTGTATGACAAGTAGCAGCTGCAGTACAGCTGCGTATGAAGGGGAATGAGTTTTTTTTTTTTTTTTTTTAATTTTTTTTTCCTTTGTGTTTGTTGTTGTTTCGGTTTTTGTTATCTGTTTTTGGAATGTGGTTGGTTAAACTTGACCTTTATTTTGCAATGGACAAACAGTAGGAGTAAAATGTGTGTGCGTAAAGTACATCTTGGACAAAATGTGGTAGATGCGTGATAGTATGCGTGTTTGTGCACGTGGGTTTAAAGTAAGGGCGGTTGGGTGGTTTCATGGTTGCACGGAAGTATTTATTCTTGTGCACATTGCCTCCATTACGGTGGTGTTGGTTGATGCATGGTAGTATGTCGGTAGACGAAGAGGTCAAGTACGGGCGTGGTGGTTGGTGCATGGTAGTCTGTAACCGTGTGCACTATGCCTATATTGATTCGTCAACAATGTGGTGTTTGTGTTTATTGAGCTGGTTTTTACATGGGTGATTGCATGGCAGTAATAAGGCTTGTGCACGACGCCTAATTTACGGTGGTGGTGGTTGTTGCATGGTAGTGTGTCAGTATACGGGGTGGGAGGAAACCGGGCGTATTGGTGGGTGCATTGTAGGTTGTACCTTTGTGCACTATGCCTAAATTAATTCAACAACAATGTGATATTTGTTTTTATTAAATTGTTAGCTTATGGAGGGATGAAAAAGTACGTAGCGGGTGTGTGTGTACTGGTATAGTTTTAAAATGCAACTACAAAAACTTTAAACACACATAATAACGGGGTGAAATTGATAATCGTTACGCAGGTGACATAAACATGGAAGAAGGAGAGAAAAGCCAACACTGTGTGATGGATGAATCCCAAAACGGCACGAACATTTGGGTTACGGCATGTGACCCATTGATAAAACTAGCTGTCGACCAAGTGTTTGCTACATTGGAAGACAGCATCGCGTACTACAAAACATATGCATCCGTGACTGGGTTTGATGTGCGCAAGAGTCCCGACATAAAGAACAGGTACGAGATCATCCTAAAAAAGAAACTAGTGTGCAATCGTGAAGGGTTTAAAGATGCAAAACCAAACAACACAACAGAACAGAATACCACCACACAAACAAAACGACGACACCCATCTAACAGAGTTGGGTGCATGGCCAAAATAGTTTTCAGAAGAGACAGTACGGGAAGGTACGTGGTCAAGAAGTTCGAAGAGGGGCACACTCACTGTTTGTGCGAGGAGAGCTACAAACCTTTCTTGAAGGGGAACATGAAACTAGATATTGGCCACCAACAATTCATCGCGAACTGCTCAAAAGTCAATATTGGGGCTAGTAAAAGTCATGACCTGTACACCGAGATGGTGGGTGGAGTTGAAAACGTGGGAGCGACACAACAAGACTTCAAGAACTATAGAAGGGAGATTTTGGCGTACATGCAAGGAGGAGATGCACAAATGCTGATATCTAAATACCTCGATATGAAATCGGACTACGACGATATGTATTTCGAATACGAGGCAAACGAGAATGACCAGTTGGCACGTGTTTTATGGGCAAATGGTATGGCAAGAAAGTAATATAGTGTTTTCGGGGATGTTGTGTCATTTGATGCTACGTACAAAACTAACAGGTATGCACCTCACTTACGGGATATAAAACTCCTAACATTTACGCCCCTATGTTTATGTAGTTACATGCGTATAACTGTAACGTTGGTGCGTGTACATGATTCTAAACGTACTGGAGTGCGTGTAAGGTCGGCAGCCTGTGCATGGCGCTGATATGGATACGAATGGTGCATATGATTTGTTACCTTAAAATGCTAAAAAATTTATGGAATTTCTATTTCATTGTATGTAAGCCTGGCTTTTACAGTTGCTATACGTTATATTTACACCCCGATCATTATACGGTGTAAACATACGGTGCGTAGTAGTTAACAAATTTCCTCGTGAAACAGGTACAGTCTCGTGTTTGTTCCATTCACCGGGATAGACCACCATAAAAAATGCGTAACATTTGCAGCAGCACTGATTGCTCGAGAGGATGTCGACTCGTACTGTTGGATACTAAGGAACTTTAGAAACGCAATGGGAAGCACACCACCACTCACAATAACTGACCAAAATCCGGTGATGAAGGTTGCAATTGCACGGGAATTCCCAGAAACTCGCCATTGTTATTGTATATGGCATATAATGGTGAAGGTTGGCGATAAAGTGAGACTTGAATTAGCAAAAAATGAAGCATTCCGATGAGAGCTGAATGATGTTGTTTGGAACGACAGCTTGACTACTGCCAAATTTGAAGTTGCATGGAAAGGAGTTATAGAAAAATTTGGCTTAATGGAAAATCCATGGTTAAACCGTATGTACGACGAGCGCGCATCGTGGATCCCTGCATGTTTTGAAGGTGTTTTTATGGGCGGGCTAGTGCGTACAACCTCACGCTCTGAAGCAGAGAACCGGATTTTCAGAAGCAACACTAGCAAACATCTTTGTGTTTCAGAATTTTTTAACAGGATAGAGAGTACAATTAGAAAGCAACGCCTAACACAGACCCAGCTAAGCGGTGCCAGCATTGCACAAACACCCCCCTACAAGACCCAACTGCGCATTGAGCGAGCGGCAGCTTCACTGTATACATTAACTGTGTTTTATGATGTGCAGAAGGAGATATGTTCCGGATGTTTTGATTGTCGGGTCCGCGCTGTCACACACGGTGAGGCCGGGAACACATATGAGGCCGAGGATGAGCACGAGATACGATACACGGTGTTCGTTGAAAATGGGACAAGGACGACAACCTGCGAGTGCCGAATGTAAAACCAGATTGGACTGTTGTGCAGCCATGCGTTTGCAATGTTAATATATGACAGGAACGAGGATATTCCCCTGCAACATATCACCCCCCCAGTGGACACGAACCGCACTAACAAATTCACCAATCAAATCGTGCAATGATACGCTTCAGCGTGGCAACCCTAAAACACGAGGCAACAAAGAAGAAAGTAACGTGCTTAACACAGTGTACAGGTGTATAGCCATGGCGCAAGGAGATGCCACAAAGCTAGAACAAATAAGCAATGCGCTGAAGGAGATTGAGTCCACATGGTGCACCAACGGTGAAGACGAGGGGGTTGTAGAGAAAGGGAAACGATCGATCAAAGAGACATTTTGTGTTGCTCCAACACCTGACACAATCACCGTGCATCACCCGCAGCAAGCATGGAGTGAGCGTATAGCCGCATGTGTAAAGCTACTGTATGCAATCACCCATTAACATTTATGGAGACCAGAATAGTTAATACTTTATTGAGAAAGAGAGTCTAGCACCATAGTGGTTCGATGATGGATAAATGGATGTGGGAGAACTTTTTGCGAAATGCCACTCACAGATTTTGAAAATAAAAATGTTTAAAAAAAAAAAAAAAACCCGATGCGTGACTGTAACCTATGCATGTGCGTAGACAATGAGTTAATACTTTATTGAGAAAGAGAGATTAGCCCCATAGTGGTTCGATGATGGATAAATGGATGTGGGAAAACTTTTTGCGAAATGCCACTCACGGATTTTGAAAATAAAAATGTTTAAACAAAAAAAAAAAAAAAAAAAAACCCAGTGCGTGACTGTAAATTAAGCATGTGCATAGACAATGAGTTTTCCAAACCTGAAACAAATTTGGGATTTGTTGTAGGACACAACCGAAAACCGAATAAAGTTACCGTGAAGTCCCTTAAAACAAATGCAAACAAAAGTTTAAAAAAATAGAAATAGACGGATAAAGAGTCATCATCTGAAAGCGTCGGGTTTCGCTGGTGAACTAATCAAACAAATGGATGGTGGATTAGTATTTGTGTAATGCCACAATCTGGGGGAAAAAAAAACGTAAAAGTCTGTGCGTGATCTTATTGTAGGCATGTGCATGTATAATGACATTGGTGCACCCGCTATTAAAAATAAATGGAACATGAAGGAACATCATTATTACGGAAATGTTTACGTGGAAATCCAAAAAATACCACCAACAACTGGGAAATGGGGACACGCGTGTAACACCACATTATTAGGATATCCGAAATAATGAAAAAAAAAATTAAAACAAATGAGCGGCCTTCAACGGCCTGCAGCATTCAAGCTCTTAACACGGGCGACATTCACGGCCCTATGCGTGTTGCGTTGGAACAACAAAATATCGAACATGTACCGAACACATAATTCAAGTAAGGTACGCGCATCACCCCTACGGAGCCCACAATCCCATGAAGAATACGCCTGGCCAACATAACACTCCATGTGACGCATGGCAAACACACCGCAATCGAGTTTGTTCTTTGCATCCCGCCATGGTAACCGAACTCTACGAGGCACCAATTTTGAAGCCTTCAGATACAATGCGATCACTCCCACATCCTCAAAGAAAACGGTAAGCAAATCATGCTACAAAAAAACTCCAAACATTTAAAACGCAAACAACGGAAACATATATTACTGAGGGAAACTCAGAAAAAATGAAGGAATACAACAAATAAAAAGAACATGCACTGACTGCACATAGCAACGCCGTTAGGGTATGACCATATTTGTTGAGCGACGGATCATCCGTGGACGAATTATCAATAACGTCAAAACGCATACGCCTGAAATCCACTAACACGACATAGTAGTGCTGCGTCTGATGTATAGGGAAAAACAACTGCAACACAAACAAATGCAACAAAACCCATTTTAAAAAATAAAGGATGGCAAATGCGCAGTCCCCAAATGAACACAAAGTTCACAAACCATGTCTATAGCATCCCACGGATTATAAGGAGACAACTTCAACTCGTCCTGCATGCTATCTGTAAACCACTGTAAGCGACTTCCACGAGGAGCCGAAACATCAACCACGGTGTACAACTACAACGTTAAAAAACAACCCAAAATCTAAACACCGGACCATGAAAAATCAAGGGATCAAAAAATGACAGCTAGAGACAAACCGTAGTTATTGTGGAGACGAAGAGCCCGGACGGTTCACCAGCAACCTTTGACATTTCCCTATAAGATAACACACAAGTCCACTCATTTAATATGCCCACTAGCACTTCATTACCTTCCAACAGAGACACAAACTCAGCCCGGCGTGCTGAACGACCACACCAAAGAAACAGCTCCTCATCCCTGTTTACAAAACCCCAAAAGAATAAGGAAAATCATATCACGCATAAAATTGGGAATAAAAAATCAAGTTATCACAATGGAAATACATGTCGGCACGCCCAGATCTAGCAATCCAATCGTAAACGTCTTGCGCAACAGGTCCCTGTGCATGTTGAACGTGTATAGCACGTGAGCGTGTCCGATGTTCGTATGAATTCAAGTCAAGAGTTCTCAACGCGCGAACATTATCGAACGGCTGACGGGACTGCTTTGTTGGTGCACGGCAACGTTCTGAGTCAACTATGGTGCTAACGGGCTGCATCCCTGGACGAATGCGCTGCACAGCAAACCAATCCCGAGTACCACATTGTGTAACAAAATAATAGTTCCACATATAATAACATATATTGTAGAAATGGAAACGCCATTGCACAACATACCTCACCAGGAGTGAATAGGCTGACAGCATCAACATTAACCCCCTCCGGACGAAGACGTTTAGTAAAAGCTCGTCCGCGAACATCATCGCCAAGAGAACCAGTAACACGAGCACCAGACAAAAGAGTGCCGGGTGCAACAACCTACCACCATAAATAAAAAAGATAAATGATGCTGGGTAAACCCCAAAAGTACACGCACAGACCAATATTAAATATATTTAAAAGCGATCGGAACGTATCCAAGCATACTTACAGCATCAAATGGGCCCGAAGAGCACCCCCGAGGCATTACATTCGTTGAATGTGCGTTATATTCACGAACAATTGCATCCACCACGTCCTAACATTGGGAAGGCAGATCCTGCGACAAACCATCACCCACACCCGAAAAATCCTGAGACAACCCATGACTGAACGAGGGGCGGAATGCATCATCCTAATAAATGAAAAAAACCGTCATACAAACTCCCCAATATATACAAACATACCATATCTAATTGGACACCGAAGGAAAAAATGGAATAATAAAAACTTGTAAGTAGACATCACATGAACGCATAGCACCAAACATCCTGCACCTGCATAAACACCGTGCAGTACCAAAAAAATATACATAGTTACCAACATGTCAAAGATACAACCACAACCCATTCATGCCATCAAAACACATCAACTCCCCCCCCCCCCCCCCAACACCTACTAGCAAAAAAAGTCCAAAACAAATACATACTAGAACAACCACTCCAAATCTAATAACGCCTTCTTTTCCTACAACGACGAACAACCTTACTTACAGCATCGGGCCTACCCCCTCCAGTCTCCGCCTCACTCGGAGCATCACCGGCAGCCTCAACGCACTGACCGGCACCCTCTACAACATATGCCTGCTGCACAATGGGATCCTGCTGGTCCAAACCCGCACCAGATAGTGGAACTTCATCGACTGTAGACTTCTGCTGAACAGCACTAACAACCGCATCGACCGTCTGCAAGTTCTCTGGGTTATCCCAGATATCATCATCGCTGAGCACACCAACCCCTCCCAGCTCAGCAGACAGTGCCCCACTGGTGGACCCAAATTGATCAGCCAGCAAGATTATCCTCCGAGCACCTGCAACAACTCTAAGAAAGCCATCTGTCGGTCCTGGGTGGTCATCATGGTGGTCCATAAAGTGGACCATGTCCTCAAGAGCTGCAGCTACGGCATCGGTCTTTTCAGCATAAATCTCAGCCACAGTCTGCATCAATACACAAATTGAGATTATGCGACAATGCATCCACCACTATACCCCCCCCCCCCATGCACACAGCATACTACCACCCCAAGAATAGGTAAAGGCACACATGTTTATACTATAATGCATTCACCTCCCCCCGTACGCACGCACGTGCTTGTCACACATGTAAAGACACACATGGTTATACCCCCCCCCCCCCCCCCCCCCCCGTACGCACACAGCATGCTGCCACCCCCAGAATAGGTAAAGGCACTCATGCGTATACTATAACGCATTCACCTCCCCCTCCGTACGCACACACATGCTTATTCAATAATAAAACAAAACCCAAACAACATTACCTGCACCAAACCAAGATCATTACAAAAAAAAAAAAAAAAAAAAAAAAAAAAAAAAAAAAAAAAAAAACATTTCGGAGGAACAATGACACACCCCGAACCAGAAAAGCACAAACAGCATGACCACCAACCACCCCTCCCCCCCCCCCCCCCCCCTCTCTGGACAAAATAGTAATACGCACAAATTAATGGCTATAAACGCACAAACACATACTGATCATAGAAATACCACGATTATGCTGTACTGCACTCACCTCCTGCCCCATGCGCATACAGCATACTTGTAAAAACAAATGGTATTACCACACAACACATAACCACGGACACATGCCAACCTCATCACAAAAAAACAAAAATAAAAAAGAAAAGACCATTACGGAACAAAAACACACACCGAACCATTTAAGCACATCAATAGCATGACCACCACCCGCACCCCCCCCCCCCCCCCCCCCCCGAATAGCAAAACACACGAATTACAAGCTATAAACAACCCAACCCTATAGTAAACATAGAAACAATTCGATTATACTGTACTGCACTCACCTACCGCCCATGCGCATATAGCATACTTGTAAAAATCAAACAGTATTACCACACCCCCAACACCCCTCATGCCAAAAAAACTAATAGTTGGCACAAATCGAAGACTCTATACGCACAAACGGATATTACGTAAAGCTACAAAAACAGTATAGAATACTTCATCACCCGCCGAATCAGTTACGCGCATAGCATACTTGGAAGAAATAATTAAACAATATCACCAGCAAAAACCCACCCCCTTTGCAAAGATTATCCATTACAAAACAAATAGAAACACAACACCAAAAGCATGACCACCACAACACCCTACACCCCCCCCCCCCCCACACACACACACAAAAAAGCAGTATGCACTAGGTACCAGCTCTGTACGCACAAACTGATTCGCAAACACATACGAACCGCCCTCATAGACCACCCAAAATCACGGTACACACGTTCACCCAGAAATAACACCCCCTTCACGAAAATGACAAAATTACCTTTTCAGGAGCAGCAACGTCAGGTGGATTGAGACCCCCTCTTCATCGTGACCCTACTCCCAACACAAAGATAAAACACGCATATAAGGACAAACGAATACTTAACAAGACACTTTGAAGAGACTATTCCCTAGATACACAATTTCACAATTCAATCAATTTTAAAAAAGACCTAAAGTTAGAGATTGATCAATAGGTAATGTTGCACCAATGCCCAACCAAAGGGCAACGGGTAAACAACAAAAAGTATCTGCACTAATAATACCTGCGAACTGAATGGTCCAACCACCTCACCCCGTCCAAACCCACCACACCTGAACTCAGCTAGTTCTCGGGCCTTTAAAAGCCTAGTGGACCACCCTCGACATGCTGACATCGCACGGGGCACAACCCTCTTTCCGTGTACAAGTCTATCCACATACAGCAGCTGCAAGAATGAAAAAGAGTCATTGATACGCACCAAAAACAAATAAAACACAAACACATATATTCACGAATTAGAACATACCAACAAGAAAACAGTAGGGCCCGAGAAAGGCTGATTGGGATCCTTGAACCAATTCCCATGCCGATGAACCAAACACTCAATGACGAACCTGCACCAATTGAGGTTCTTAATCTCATCCACGTCCTCAAAGTGGTGATACACACGCTGATTGGCATATCCATTCATCATGGGAGAAGCCAACACACTGATTGCCAGCATCGCGAAGTTTCTCTTCAACCATACATCGCCCTCAAGTTGGGTCTTGATCTTAGTAGCAATCATAGGCAGTGTAACAGAATGATTGACCTTCTTGAACTTCCATCGCCATTCTTTAAGGGAGTCACTGATATCATCTTTAGCCCTTTTGAAAATAACAATCTCGCCGCGGGCAGACCTAAAACCAAATGCACATCTGCCTCCGACACTCGAATAACGGACCCATTCTCCACACGCAAAGACATATCAACCGGATCGAAGTTTGAAAGCAGCCACCTAGCTAGCGGTTTCGGAATGTCATACACATCAAGGTTGAACAGCGCCCCCAAACCCAGCTCGTAAACGGCTTTCCGTTGGCAAGCATTGAACCGCTTCATTGGTTTCACGAGATGCGTGGGCGAAGCACGGATCTTCAATGGTGGAAATAAAGCGTGGTCGACTTCGTCGGGCTGGACATCCGAAACATCCGAATCCGGGGGTTGATGTGCCAGCTCAGTGGGTATTTCAACCGCAGCAGTCTCGGGCAAATCTGTCACCACATCTGCCGCAACCACAGGCGCACTAGCGACGTCGAAAGGCACTGCAGAAAATACCACACACGAACACAAAAAAAAAAAAAAAAAAAAAAAAAAAAAAAAAAAAAAAAACATATTACAATCAAATAGTGACACACAACTATAACTATAACCTGGAAGCACACAACTAGAAATAACCACAACCCCCCCCCCCCCCCCCCCCCCCCCCCGTATTCTATGGATTCCACCCCCATGCACCCACTAACCTGCAGACGCACATACCGAAACGACATAAACCACAACGACATAAAGAAACAAAGAAACATAAACCCTGGTAGCCCACAACAAGAAACAACCACAATCCCCACCAATATTCTACGGATTCCACCCATGCACCCACCAAACTTTCAAATGCACATACCAGTAATTCAACAGTAATGCCAATTTCCAGAAAAAAAGAATACGCACACGGTTACACCCCCAAACGCACACACCATGTTTATAATGACATTGTGAGTAATCCATTATGATTATGGCATGGGATGATGCCATCCCATGACTGTACTAAACCAAGTTATAACTAGAGGTATTTGAATCCGTTTTCTATTTTCCATAAAAAATGGAAAATTTTCAGAAACTAAACCCACCTTAAACTTTGTCATACACACGTAACAAAATTTGATTACAACAAACTAATAAAAAACTTAAAAATTATACTTTTTTTTTTTTTTTTTTTGTGGTCTGAAACTAAGATATGAAGAATGTTGAAAAATATATGGGTAGAGCTAGTTCTGGGCATGGCTGGAAGTGAACAAATTGAATTAAAGAGATGAACCCAAATTACCAAAAACGAAAAGAGCCATTCAATAGTAGTTCCAAGTTCCAAAAACAAAGAATATGCACATGGTTACAAACCAAACCGCACACACCATGAACCGCACCCCCCCCCCCCCCCCCACTTACATACATCACAACATACGACACCCACAAATACAACAGAACATACAGACAAAAAAACACTTTCCAATCCCCCACAAATTAAAAAATAATAATAATAACCACCAAACGCCCCACCATAGCTCCGGCCAAAAACACCATGAACACCGCAATCCCCGTCCTCCCAGCCATGGGCATCACCAATCCGCCCACCACCCCCACCCCAAAACCACCAACAAACAACGAAATACACAATGACCACCCCCACCCCAAAACCCCCAACAAACAACGAAATACACAATGACCACCCCCACCCCAAAACCCCAACAAACAACGAAATACACAATGACCACCCCCCCCGATACCAAACCTGAGATACACCAGTCGACCCGCCCCTCGCCCCCCTCCCCCGTACCGGCCGATAACCCATCAAACAAGACCCTCATACATCACCCAAAAGAGAAACTCATGAAACCCACAGCAGAAATTGCAGAAAAATTTAAAAAAAAAAAAACAAAAAAAAAAAAAAAAAAAAAAAAAAACAAAACAAAACAAAACAAAACAAAGAATCCGAAACCCCAACCCGGAACCCCAACAAACCCCAAATCAGTGAACACACACCCCCACACCAGAAACGACACTACATAGCCAAGAAACACACGAAGATAAGCGCGAAACGAACAAAAACCATACGATCAACTGAAAAAATGGGTATAAAGGTTAAAACCTGGAATAGGAACGGGCGCGACACCTTTACGCCACTTAGAATTCCTCGACCTCGACCCTGCCATGACCAACATCGGTACAAGCACTGCACACCCGCCGCGAATGGAGATGAACCTGCGAGAAAACCCCTTGTCTACGCGAATGAGGATGACCCTTCACGATGAAGCTACCCCTTTGAATCGACGGCAAAGTGAGAGAAACGGGCAAGACTCCTAATTTAACTCGTGACACGACACCACACACACGCGAATCAAGGACTTGACATAAATGGACCCCATCGCAAAAGACAACAATACCCCCCAATTTAATAAAACAGAGAAACACACGGCTAAATAAAAATACATCATCCGTACCGTTAAACGTTGATAATGAAGGACCCAGATTAAAACTCACAAACACACCTAAATAGGGGGTGCATCGGATTCAAAATCTATATATATTATCATAATTCTTTTTTCTTTTTGAACTTATACTGAATAGTGCGTTATTCACTATATCTCAAGTAGTGAAAAGGACAGAGAGAAAACATTCTCAAGAGATATTCCAAGGCAATTTGTTAAGTATAAATGTTCAAGCTTAAACTTAAACAATTACATTCAAGTTTGTTCAAATCCAAATCATATTTGTTAAAATCAAATTTCTTTGTGTAAAGACATTATAAGCACCAAATTTTAAATCTTGATACAATTCACTTGAAACTTTCTGTATTAACAAATGGGCAATAGGATCTACATCACCTATTCCAAACTCTTCTTACAACAGTTAAGAGATTTGCACAACTAATTTTCTACTTTATTCATCGCCACCAAACTCTCATACATCATACCATCATGTTCTTCCAGTGTATGCATTGCAGGACACTGGACATAACATAGTTCTAAACAGGATAAAAAATAGTTGAAAACAAAACGGATCGACAAAGGCAAACACCAAGAGATCGATGAGGGGGGAAGTCAGAATCCATTCCTCAAACTGCTCTCACAGCGGTAGTGTGGCTTGAGATCCGATTCTCCTCTTTCTCAAGCGTTCCGCGATAATGAATGCAAGCTCGAGGGATTGGGAGGCGTTCAATCTAGGATCACAGTGGGTGTGGTAACGTGAGCTCAGATCATCGAAAGTCACAGTTCGAGATCCACCAATGCACTCTGTCACGTTTTGGCCCGTCATTTCTAAGTGCACACCTCCAGGGTGGCTCCCCTCTTGCTCGTGCACATCAAAGAAAGCTCTCACTTCGGCCTGATTGCAGAAAATGACACTTTGAGATATACATTCTAGCATTTAATGTGCATTCTTGAACATTGAAACTATATCATTAACAACATCTTCAACAAGAAATCATTATTAGATATAAGTTTTCTAAAAAGATTGCCACTTGAGAAGAAGATGAAAAGAAAGCCACACCAAAACTAGTGGGTCCATCACAGATAGAGACGCAAACCTAACTACATATAGTATCACAGTGATATTCTTTGTATGATTGAATCCATAGTTTAAAAACTCAAAAACAAAATATTACCTTTGACTACTTAACACCCAAAATGCATTTTCCACAGCTAAACAATCTATTTGAGATTCTTAGTCATAGTCTTTGTTAATTGAATATCATTAAATTTTTTGTCTAAACGTAACTAGTTTTTTCCCTCATTATTTAATGTTGATTTAGTAGGGTCATCTGTTCAACTTGTCAAACAATTGTAGAGAGCGGCCCTATGGGCAAATCCCGATAAAAGCTAGAATCTGCTGCCATGATTATTCATGAAATATTCAATTATTGGCCCTTCTGATGAATTATTGAGTGGGATACCGCAGCATAAATGTTTCCTCAGACAGTTCTATTTGTAGGGAAAGATATCATCCATGATATTAGTTAACAAAGTACGAACCACACAATTATGGCTAGTAGAAGGCATGCTAAATTAAGGATATCCATATGAAACATGAAGGAACTTAAAATCGAAATGGAAGTATTTACCCGGATTGAATCAAAAGGTCGAGTTTTTAGACCGCAAGGAGCCTTAATAGTATTTCCATGCATGGGATCTGATACCCAAGTAACGATTTGCCCTGCCCTTCGGATTGCCCTAATCAAATGAGGAAGCTTGACCCTCATGTTCTCCGCTCCCATCCTTGTAATTATTGTGATCCGCCCTGGCTTGTTCTGGGGATTCAAAATTTCAATGAGCTTGACTAAATCGCCTGGATTCATCTTGTCACTCACCTGCAGAGCAACACTCTGTTAGTTACAGATTTCTATCATGGGTTTCATATAATCAGCAAACAAACAGAGCCATGTTATCGAAACGAATACAAGCAACTGTAGTCTAACAACACGGAAGAATATTCACCTTAATTCCCAGAGGGTTAGCAACTCCTCTCAAGAACTCGACATGAGCGCCATCCAATTGCCGGGTTCGCTCTCCAGCCCAAAGAAAATGAGCAGAGCAGTCATAGTACAGGCCAGACGTTGAATCCAGCCTGGTGAGTGACTGCTCATATGGCAAGTGCAAGCACTCATGGGATGTCCAAAAATCAGTGGTTTTCATGATAGGATGATCCATTGTAAGACCAGCAGCATTCATGAAACCAAGGGCCTCATCAACTCTATGAGCTAGTTCACGATACCTGATCAAGCCAAAAGAAGAAATCACAATATATTCTATGAGCTAGTTGAAAAAAAAAAAAAAAAAAAAAAAAAAACTACTTCATCATCTAAATTTAGCTTCTAGTTTTTGAGTTTTTTTTTTTGTTATCAGACCACCAGGTGTCCTGAACAGGCCCTAACTGTAGGAAGCACCTTTAAGCCCGTACCATACTCAGATTAATCCCCATTTGCACCGGCCCGCCCCAATTAAGGGGCAAAGTGCTGGCCAGATTGGTTTTGGCATACGAGAGGAGGTTCGAACTTCCAACCTCTCTTAAGAGACAAGAGTGCACGGTCACCCACACCAACCAAGCTAGTTTCTAGTTTTTGAGTTTAAACGTGTTCTATAAATTCATTTTTTTGGACTTTTGGAATAGAAGTAATACTCTGAAACCAAACAAAGTATGCAGAACCTGAACATCACAAAACACATATTGCACATAGATACAGTATGGGAGAAAATACCTATCCCCCTGCTCACTATGCTCGGTGAAATCCAAGTTCCATTGAGTTACCCTCTGCATAGAGGCATAACCTCCAGTAGCAAAAGCCCTCAAGAGATTCAATGTAGCTGCAGATTGGCAATAGGCCCTGATCAACCTCTGGGGGTCAGGAATCCTCGACTTCTCATCAAATGCATCTCCATTCACGTTGTCTCCCCTGTAACTTGGCAACTTTACACCATCCTTTTCCTCAAAGGACTCTGATCTTGGCTTAGCGAATTGCCCAGCCATTCTTCCTACCTATTTATAAAGATATTAGGTATATAATACATGTTAGAATCAAAATACTAGGTCCTCACCAAAAAAAATAATCAAAATACTAGGTATCGAATTCAATTTATTATCATTACAACATAAGTTTTAGTATGTAAACAATAACCAGAATCCAAACGAGATTGATTCTCAATATTAATCAAACAATAAGCTGAATAACAAGATACGTAGGAAATTAACATTAGCCCGAAATGTGAGATTTTACAAAAATTGGAAATTTTAATTCTCTGAGAGATTTTTTTTTTTTTTTTAAAGCAAGAAACTTGATGAAAATGAGGATAAAAATGGTTTAACCTTGATAACGGGCATTTGACCACCGAACATGAGAACAGCTCCCATCTGAAGGAGGATTCTGAAAGTGTCCCTTATGTTGTTAGCATTGAACTCCTTGAAACTCTCGGCACAATCTCCACCTTGGAGCAAGAACGCCCTACCCATTGCGGCCTCTCCGAGCTTCTCCTCCAAGCTGCGTGCCTCTCCAGCAAACACGATCGGCGGGAAAGACTCAATAGTCTTGAGCACCGATTCAAGCTCAGCCTGATCAGGGTACTCGGGGAGCTGAAGCGCCTTCTTGGATTTCCAGCTTTCCACGGCCCACTTACCCTCACCACCTCCCGACTTCGACACAGTCGGAGCCGCCGCCGCGGAGGCAGAAGTGGAGGCAGGCGGGGTTTGCTTGGAAGACGACTTGGAAGGGTCGGCAGAATGGACGGCGGAGATGGGGCGGACGGATCTGGCTGGGGGTTTGAGGGAAACCCCATGCTTGTAGAAAGGTGAAACGGGTTGTTGGTGGGTAGGGGGAGCAAGGGTTTTGTTGGGGAGAAGAGAGGTGGCACTGCCGGATGCAAGAGCCATTGTTAGAGAGTTATCCAAGGTGTTCGACGATATGCCTGTGAGAAGCTTTTTAGCGTGTTGTGTTGAGAAAATGCGAATGCGGGCGGTGGCGCTTGAAGAATGGGGAGGGAGAGGAGTTTATAAGAGCATTTGGGTAGTGAGTTTGGTAGTTGTGGGGAGGTTGATGAATGAAGGAAGGAAGAGCAGAGGAAATAGGGTGGGGCCCAAGCTGCCAAATGCAGTGGTGGTTGAGAGGGACTGTCTCGTCATTTTACCATTTGGTTGGTGCAACTCGCTCATTCCTGCAATCCTGCTTATCACTTATCACCTACTCAAATAGTGTTAGACTTCTCCCCAAAAATTGTCACCCAATAAATAACATAATTTTTTTTTTATATACCAAGGCTTCAGAAAATGACTCCTTTTTAAAAAAATATTATAATTTTTTAGTGTTTGGTTGAAAGTAAGAAAATTTTCTTCTTTTTTTGGTTAAAAGTTAAGAAATTTTATTTTTTATTTGATTTACTTCCATAAAAATGAACAATTATTTGTTTATAATAATAATAATAATAATATTATTATTATTATGTAGTGGTGGTGGTGATGTTTGTGGTGATGGTGGTGGTGTGCTCATGGTCGTGGTGGTGGTGCGCTCGTGGTTGTGATTGTGGTTGTGATAATAATAATTCAGAAATTAACTTGAAAAAAGAAGAGAGTGAAGAGAGATGAAAAAATAAAGAAATTGTAAAATGTCTTCCACCAAAGAAACTAGGATGACATTTTCTATCAAATTGGTCATTTTTTATGTTGACCATAATGAATATTTTACTTTGACTTTATTTTTTTTGAATACTAAAACACGTGAAAATCTGAAAAATAACTTCCAAATTTTCATATAGACCCTTAATTCTTGTCATCAACACTTTATTAGTGGAGCTGGTTGCATAAACTTTTCTAATATGACAATTTATCTATATTATATGATTTATTTACAAGTTACCACATAAGAATGCTATATATCTATCTAAACAAAAAGTGCTAGACTAATTCTATTTACAATAAATTTAATAAGCATATGATAATAAATAAATCTAAAAACATAATAAGCCTCAATCAAAGTTATATCCCTCATTTATGTCTATATTTTGAATGCTAATCATTTTGTATATTATGCTTTTAGAGTTGTACTATATAATTTTTTGGACAAAAATATCCCTACCGTTATAACTTCCGTTATCTTTTCCATTATTGTTACCATACACATGCATCCACCATATATTTCTTATATTCTTTAATGAGAATAATATTTGTAGACATTATATATTGGATTATTATAATAAATAAATTTGATTTTATATAGATTTTAATTAGTAAGAATTTGTTAATTATTTTTAAAAAATATAAATATTAGACATATATTTTTGCACATCCCGCATAGAAAAGATTAGTTAAAGCAATAAGAATGAAAAGAGTATTTTCGATTTAGCATTGATAATAGTTTTTTTTTTTTTTTTTTTTTTTGAGTGAGCTGATAATAGTTTATTACACGTGGCTTCTTGGCCGTTTGCTTTGAGACTTGGGTACGCCAATGATAATCTAAAGCGAGTGTATTAAATCATAATTTCTATAACCTTTTCAAAACTTTAAAATTCGGTGGTATTCGATTTAAACTTTTAGGGAGTGTTTGATTCAAGTTATATAACATAATCTAGGGGATGTGAGTTTTGAAATGTCACATTCCCATATTTGGTTCAAGTTATATTATTTTTTCAAAAGTGTTTAGTAAATTAGTTGTTAGCTGATAGTTGATTACATGCAAAATGATCATCTAAAAAAGTTGATCGAAAAAGCTACTTTGAGCAGTTTTTTAAATTTTAGTATTTTGGTGCAATAAGCTGTTACAAAAAAAAAAAAAAAAAAAAAAAAAACTAATTAATCAAACACTCATATTGATAGTTTTTTTTTTTAATGAAAAGGAAGGGGTGGAGCCCCGTGAGAAACAAAACAACAAAGACAGTCACCACGGGTGTAAGGAACCCCGATACTATCACAATGAACCCGTGCCGCTAGGTCGGCATTGGGACAAAAGTAAAACAAAACCAAATTAGGTTCAGAACTATGATTTTTAGCAAGACAATCCGTCACTTGGTTCTGTTCCCGCAGCACGTGATGGCAAATGACACTCCATCTTCTTTTGATCAAACTTTTGCACTCTAAAATGATGTTATTCAGGGTTCCGCCGCACGTAGCTGTTGGATATATGTTAGTAAAAACACTGCTGGAAATCATCAGATTTCTGACCACCCAAAAGTGGTCGGAAACAGCCTAAATTGGGTCAGAAACCGTGTTTCCGACCACTTTTCTGATCAAAATGGGGATCCGGAAAAAGGCCCGTCGCTAATTCCGACCACCATAGAGAGTGGTCGGAAACAACGAGCACATTTTTATAATCGTCGGAAACAAACGACGGGTTTGATACTTGGACAGATCCATATTTCCGACCACCATGTGGTCGGAAATTCCACGATCGGGCGGTCGGAAATTTGGAACCAAGAATTCGTTCATTCCAGATTTCCGACCCATAGTGGTCGGAAAACTAATAAATAAATAAATATATATATATATATATATTTTTTTTTCTTTTGTAATTTACAATTTCTATTGCTACTTTTTCTACAAATTATACACTGCTTTACCAATTTTAAAACTAGTAATTTCATAACACAAATATTATACATTTCAATATCAAATTTAATTATACATAATGTTGCAATTCTAATATCCACCATCATTCAAAATGTGCTAATACAATCAAAATATTTCCTAAATCACAAAAAAGTTAGAAGCTTGGATCTATTGCTGAAGATCATCTAACCCATCACAAAAAAAAAGTTAGAATCTTGGATCTATTGCTCAAGATCATCTAACCCATCACCAAAAAAAAAAACGTTAGAATGTTGGATCTATTGCTCAAGATCATCTAATCCAACACCACTACTTTCATGGCTAACGGCGGGATTAGTAGACTGAAAAGAAGGTTGATTTGCACCACGAATTGCAACAAATTCCGCTTCTAACCATGCCATTTTTTCCTTCATTTGCTTGTTCTCTTCTTTTAGTTCCTTAATTTGATCCTCATAAACTGCATGTGCCAATGATTGTCCGGATTTTGAATTCTTTTGCGTCACAGCCTCAGGGAAGTAGCGCGGTGTATCTGATCCAAATCCATAAACAGATCCTCTTTTCTTGAGGCCACCGGCTGCCAAGAACCATGCATTTGACTCTCCAAGCTCAGGTTGAGTTTGTTGTTTTTGAATTGCAGCCTCCTATATTTAACAATTTTTACCAAACACAATCATTTTATCATCTCAAAATCTAATAAATGTTATGACAATCATTTTCCTAGAAATTCCTCAAACAATTACCAACAAAGTGTAGCAAAACTCAATAAGACTCTCAAGGTAGTAAGACTTCATAGTAGTAAGACTCTTGAAGTAGTAGAAGGCAGTAACTCTATCTTCTCTTCATTATAAATAAAAAGATTCAATACAGTAAAGGTTTGCACAATGAAAATGATATTTTGAGTTCTGGTTTGTGAAACCAGAACTCAAAATAATTTTTTGAGTTCTGGTTTCACAAACCAGAACTCAAAATGATGTTTTGAGTTCTGGTATGTGAAACCAGAACTCAAAATAATTTTTTGAGTTTTGGTTTCACAAACCAGAACTCAAAATGATGTTTCTGCTCTAATATAATCTGCATGTTCCATCCCCTAACATGTCTAAACTAAGCATATTTTTAATTAGTTCTCAAGTCCGTATAGTTTCTGCTCTAATATAATCTGCATTCTAAATATCAAGATATGGGGTATTCTTACTACTATATTTGGATGTTGGCACAAGTATATTATGGAATATACTTTTTAAAACAAGTAAAACTGCTTTACTAGGCCTACACTTTTAATTCTAGGAAAAGTTTTAGTATCTTACATTTACATGATCAGCCTTTTTGCAAACAAACTCATTTGTCTTTTTGCGTTTGTGAGTTGCTTGGAACAACACTGCATGGGAGGGCTCTTCTCCAGACTTTTCTTTCTATCCAAGACAATAAACCAAATATTAATGTTGTTGTTTAACTATGAATTGTATTTAAATAGTAGTAAATGACTTATTAATCTTCTCCTATGCTCAGAAATGGAGATTGAACCTACAGTGTGCAGTGATGGTCCCAATCCCCCGCAATCTGAATTTCTATTTCTTTTGTTCTTCGCAGCAGTCTTCTTAAACTCCTCCGTATTCCAAATGCTGCGGTATTGGGCCAAAACCTGATCATTCATCCAATTTGGTGGTGCATGGCCTCTTGCCAAATTGATGCGAACCTGCCCCAACGTGTCACATAATCTTCTAGCAGCCTTTTTGTGAAATATACTCTGAATTACTGCCTCATCTTCTAGATTCCACTTATACTTTTTCTTTGATAAGATTAAAAAAAATCAAATTGTAATTAGTAAATGTATAAAGTAATAGTTATAGCATCTGGAGCATAAAGTAGGTATAAAGTAATTAGTAAATGTATAAATTATTAAATGTATATATTAGTAGTTCCCTATGGTAGTTATAAAGTAATTTACTAATAGCAGTTATAAAATAAGTTACCCTGAATTCATTAAACCATACGTCCTTCATATGTGTAGGAGCATCATTGTATGATTTTATAGCATCTGGAAATATTTTAGTTACATAATCGATAACTTTATTCGCACGTCATGGCTCAAACCTGTAACAAATTATAAATGTTAGAGATAAATGTTAAACACATTATAATTATTATAGTTATCAATATAAGACTTACAAATTGTTCCCAATGGGGCTTACTATGGGCCTGTTGCTTGGTGAAGTTGGAGGTGATGGAACATCATTTGGTAAGGCTGATATAGTTCGCTCCGAATCACTATTTCGGCTGGACTGTGGGAGAGTATTTGATGGTGGACTTTCAGAGTTAGATATTGGTGGTTGGGACATCAACGTTGTACTATTTTGCCTTGCACATTGAGACATTTTCTGCTTAAAATTCAAAGAAAGTTAGTAGTGTAAAATGTCATTTCTAAATTTTGTGTTTGTAAATGATCATTTTGAGTTCTGCTTTGTGAAACCAAAACTCAAAATGATCTTTTGAGTTCTGGTTTCACAAACCAAAACTCAAAATGATCTTTTGAGTTCTGGTTTGTGAAACTAGAACTCAAAAAATTATTTGAATTCTGGTTTCACAAACCAGAACTCGAAATGATGTTTTGAGTTCTGGTATGCGAAACCAGAACTCAAAATGATCTTGAGTTCTGGTTTCACAAACCAGAACTCAAAATAATTTTTTGAGTTCTGGTTTCACAAACCAGAACTCAAAATGATCTTTTGAGTTCTGATTTGTGAAACCAGAACTCAAAATGATCCTTTTGTAACGTCGTAAACCATTTTCATACATTCTACAATACTGATATATATATATATATATATATATATATATATATATATATATATATATACACACACACATTTGAAATCAAAATGAGAAAAAGTGGAGTACACATACCTTAAAATCGGTTGAACCTCCTCACAATTCAGTAACACATATTGATGAGCGGTGAAACGTTCTTCTACACTCAAATATCTTGTCTTTCTCCTGCCCATCGACCGACCAGGTCGATTGAATATTGACAAAGTAACTGGTAAGTTCTGATCAATGTCGTCATCATTTAGGTTCCGACCTATCCTTGTTCTTCTACTCTGCACATCATCTTCAAAATAAAATGATGCAAAGTGTGTTGCCTCTTCAAGCATATATGCATCAGCAATTGAACCTTTAACATATCTCTTATTTTTCATTTTGGACTTCAAGTGATTGAGGAAGCGTTCAAATGGATACATCCAACGATATTGTACTGGGCCACCTAAACGTGCTTCATAGGGAAGATGGACAGGCAAGTGTTCCATGCAATCAAACAGTGCTGGAGGGAAAAATCGTTCTAACTTACACAATGTTAAAACAATTGAGTTTTCCATTTCCTGTATTTTGTCTACACGTAGGGATGTAGAGCAAAGATTTCTAAAAAACGCACTTAACTCAGTCAAAGGCTTCCAGTGACAGCTTGGTAAAAACATGAAGGCTACAGGCATAAGAAACTGCATAAAAATATGACAATCATGACTTTTCATCCCTATTAATTTAGAATATGTGGAATCAACACATGTAGCCAAATTAGAAGAAAACCCATCAGGTAACTTCAAAGTTCGTAACCACTCATAGACAGCTAATTGATTAGTACGATTCAAACTGTAGCTTGCCTTGGGCATAAGATAACGTCCATTCTTTTCCACCAACTCAAGTTCGGGCCTATTACACACGTCCTTCATATCGAGACGTGCATTAGGCGTGTCTTTATTTTTAGCTGTGCCTTTGACATCCATAACTGTGTGGAAAATGTTATCAAACACATTTTTCTCTATATGCATCACATCAAGATTGTGACGTAACAAATTATCCTTCCAATAAGGCAAATCCCAAAATATGCTTTTTTTTTTCCAGTTGTGTGCTTGTCCAAACGCCTCAATGCGACCAATTGGACCATCAATAATCCTTGGGATATTTTCCAAACTATGAAACAACTCATCTCCTGTCCAAATTGGTTGAGGTCTTGATTTCTCAGCTCGTTGTTTGACGAAGGTATCTCGATTCTTCCTCCATGAGTGATTCATTGGAAGGAATTGACGATGACAATCAAACCAACATGTTTTATGACCATTCTTCAGATAAAATGATTTAGAATAATGAAGACAATAAGGACATGCTAGTTTCCCGGCTGTCTGCCATCCAGATAACATACCGTATGCAGGAAAGTCATTGATGGTCCACATTAACGCAGCGCGCATCATAAAATTTTGTTTAAGTGATGCATCATAAGTTAAGACACCTGTTTCCCATAACAATTGAAGTTCATCAATTAAAGGCTGAAGATAGACATCAATATTGGCCTTTGGATTCTTCGGTCCAGGAATAATACAGGTTAAGAATGTGTATGGTGTAGTCATACACATTGAAGGTGGGAGATTATACGGAACAACCATAACAGGCCAACAAGAGTACGGCTTTGCATTGAAACCAAAAGGAGAAAATCCATCAGAACATAAGCCCAGTCTTACATTTCGGGGATCTACTGAGAAATCAGGGAACCTTCTATCAAAGTGCTTCCATGCTTCACCATCAGAGGGATGACACATAATACCAGGTTCGCGACGATTTTCATAATGCCATCGCATGTGTGAAGCAGAGCTATGTGATGCATACAAACGTTGCAATCGAGGAATGAGAGGAAGGTAATGCATTCTTTTACGAGGCACCTCTTTTGCACGAGTAGATCCAGATGGGCAAGGTTTAAATCTTGTCTCACCACAAAACTTACAGTGCTTGTCATTTATTTCAGACTTAGAGTACAACATACAATTGTTTACACAACAATCAATCTTCTCATGTCCAAGACCAAGCTTTGTAAGTAACTTTTTTGCATCATAATACCTGGTAGGTACTCGATTATCGGGACCCATCAAATGGTTAATATACTGAAATATCTGATCCATTGCTAGCTGTGGTATATTAAAAGTTGACTTGATATTCATCATCCTCAATGTATATGCCATCTCTGTTTCTTCATTAACATTCATTGATAAAGGTTGTCTCGCAGCATCTAACAATTCATAGAAGTTTTTTGCACTACTATGTGGTTCTTCATCTTGGTCATTTTCGACATTTAATGGAAAAAATGATGGACCAGATGCATCAAAAACCATTTGTTCATATTGGTTATTTTCACTAGGGCCCTCATTCATGTGGGGTTGTATTGAAGGTGGAAGCTCACCGTGACATGTCCAAATCCAATAACTTGGTTCAAAACCCTTCCTATATAAATGAACACGAACATCATCTGCAGACAAGTGTACTCTATTCTTACACTTACTACATGGACACCTAATCTTCATTGAAGCCTTGTATACAGGAAGTGTGCTTGCATAATTTACAAATTCCTCAACACCCAATAAGAACTCATCTGTGTACCCCCTTTTTCCGGGTAACAATCGATTATACATCCATTTCCGATGTTCAGGTATATTAGCCATGTAAAACAACTGTAAAAACATATATACAGTGCAAACACATATATAAATGTATTAAAAATAATACTAATATTTTAAATAATCATATACACTCATACTAATAATTAGACACATATAAAATGTCATTTGTAAAAAGTACAAATATATAAATAATTATAAACATACTCACATATACATATATGCACACTATACATTCTTCAATCATATTAAAATAAATAATCTAAATAAGTATTCACAAAAATATATTTAAAAAATCAAACTAGATCTAAGGAAAAAAAAATCATACTAGTTAATAGACACACATATAAAATGTAATTTTAAAAATGTACAAATATACAAATAATTATAAACATATTCACATAAATACACATATACATATATGCACACTATACATTCTTCAATCATATTAAAATAAATAATCTAAATAAGTATCCACAAAAATATATTTAAAAAATTAAACTAGATCTAAAAAAATTCATACTAGTAAATAGACACACACATATAAAATGTAATTTTTAAAAAGTAAAAATACACAAATAATTATAAACATATTCACATACACACATATACATTCTTCAATCATATTAAAATAAATAATCTAAATAAGTATTCACAAAAATATATTAAAAAAATCTAACTAGATCTAAAAAAAGTCTTAATAAATAGTAGATTTAAGAATGTAAACACATACCTTAACTTGATATGATGTAGTACAACTTGCTTTTAGCACTATTATGCATGAATTATTGAAAGAAAACCTGCAAAGAAGAAAAAAAGCAGTAGAAAGGGGTAAAAAACAGAGAAAATAGGTCTGGAAATACGCAGTGGAAGCATTTATATATAAAGGTATTTCCGACCACCATTAATTGTCGTCGGAAAAAATATATTTAAAATTCAAACCGCCGACAGTTTCCGACCACTGTTAGCATGTGGTCGGAAGTTCCGACCACCTACTAATAATGGTCGGAAATTCCGACCCCGTTCCGACCCCTTACCCATTCGCCGGAAAATTGCAAAAAAATGATTTTTTCCGACCACTTTTTGCGGTGGTCGGAAAGTGGTCGGAAATACGATGATTTCCAGCAGTGAAACCCAATAATAATCCTACGAAAATATTATTATTTTAGGGAAATATTTGGGAAGGAAAGGACGAACAAATACAGTATAGGTTCGGGTTGGTGGTTAGCACGAGTCGAGCGAAACACTCTTTCCTTAAAACCTTATTTGCTACCTCTCACAAGTGCTAGGAACGTTGTAGCTTAGGTTTACCAAGATAAAACGTACTACGGTTCAATTGTTTGAGCACCCAAATAGAGAGCCCGGCAAACTAGAGCATAGCTTACAACACAATTGGCTAGAAAGGAGTAGAAGCAGAATTTTGAGAGCTGAAAAATATGATTTTCGTTGTTGTATAATCGGGTTAATTCCACCAGAGGTCCCTTGCCTTTGATGGCAATTCCAAATTTAGTCCCAGACTATCGTTTTTTGGACACTTTTAGTCATTCTTATGACTTTTTCTATTTTTAGTAAGGGCATTTTTGTCTATTCATATTTTTCTTTTGTTATTTTTCCAGTTGCAAGCGGTTTAATTGGTTTAGGACTTTACTAAAAATTGGTTGAAAAATATGGTTACTAAAAATCAGAAGTTACCTAAAGTTCTAAACCAATTAAAATTGTTGAAACCGGAAAAATAACAAAAGAAAAATATGAAGAGACAAAAATTCCCTTACTAAAAATAGAGAAAGTCATGAGAAGGACTAAAAGTGTCCAAAAAATAATAGTCTCAAACCAATGCTATACAATTCAATAAATCTTAGAAAGGCTCTTGTATAAATAGTGGTGCAAACCTACTTCCCAAACCAATGTGGGACAAAAGCAACTTTCAAGCTTTTCCCTTCATTTTCCAACTCAAATGGATCTACTTTGAGAATCAATTTCTCATTCACTCATTATCCGTTTTGAGCGTACAGTATATCAATCTCTTCGTCTCACTACGAAAAACCCGAATCTACTTTGACCCGACTCAAATCAGAAGTAGACCCCATTAATATTTGTACCACAAAATAACTACTTAAAATGTCATTTTTATGTTATTTTTCCAACTGTAGCTTCAAAAAGGGGGCCATTGATCATCTTGACCACATTCGCTAAGTCGCATTGAATAATAACTTTAGTGAAAGCCTCTTGCCAAGCAACTTTGAGCCCAAACAGGACAACCCAAGCTTCAGCAACATCCGCCGAGCACGCACCAAGGTTGGTTTGGAAGCTAACTAACCAGTGGCCAAGGTGGTCTCTCAAGATGCCGCCACAGCCAGTAGTGTGACTAGAGGTTCTGCTACTCCCGTCGATGTTGATCACAATCCATTCCTCCTCAGGTTTGTCCCACGCTCATAGAGTCCTCCTTTGCTCTCCTGGATGGCAGCCGGTAATCAAGTTCCGTTTAAGAGCCCTGTGGATTTTGTTACAGTATCTCCTGATCCAGTCGACTTTGAAATTTTTATGAACGTTTTCATTATTGAAAAGCATATTGATTGTTTAACCAAGTCAAACAACTTATAGTGGTCAAATAAGTTAAAATTGACGGATAAGCTAACTATGTTACCAAACATGGCCTAAAGGAGGGTGGGTGTATTCAATAATCACGACTTTTGTATACTTTTAAAGACTTTTAAAATGATAGATTTTAATAAATTTTTATTAACTTTCATAGAGTCGTTCAAAACTTTTTAAAATTTTGTAAGATTCTATAAAAGTCTATATAAAAAATATTTATAAACTTTTATTAACTTTTTTATTTTAAAAAGTTTACAAAGTTCATTGAAATTCTAAATTGAATACATCTTTACAAACTCTCAATGATTTTTATTCTTATCATTTATAATTTTCTTACAAAACATGTTATAATAAATCATAAAATTTTCTTATTACATAGTTCTTCATCCACATCAACATTCTTATTTTTATTCATAGTATGATAATAGTTATATGCTAATTATTTATATCAATAAGCATAAAAAAACTACTATAATAAATTCATAACAACATCGAATACTAAAATTTATAGTAACATAATTGTTCAAATAAAATATTTTAAAATATAATTACTAGTCGCATAAAATATATAAAAAAAATTAAAAATATAATATTAATAATATATAAAAATAATATTACTTATAATTTTTTGAGGAAGATTGTAAAGTTTAGGAGAGAGAAAAAATTGGTAGAGTATGATATATATGAAGAAACTATGGGATAATGAAGAAAAATAATTTATTGAATTTATATATCTACTATCTATCTACTATACTAATAAGAACCCAAGAGAGTTAGGCCTATAATGGGTAGAAAAAATGGCGGTCAAATTTTTTAATCAAATGAATTGCTCAGATTGATCATATTTTAATTTGTCCTTATGATTTCCTAATTTATCCTTAATGAATATGTTAATTTGTCCTTATGATTTCCTAATTTATCCTTAATGAATATGATTATCTGTTAACTTTTCCGTTAAATATTGTCTTTTCCGTTAATTTCTGTTAGTTCACCGTTAACTTACTCATTGATTTCAATAAGAAAGATCTTAGGTTCGAACCACATCCCAATCAAAGTTGGCATAATTAGTACTCTATTTCACTCTTATTAAATTAAAAATAAAAATAATAATAATTTAGTAGCTACAACAAAAAATAATACATATGCATTTCTTTAATTTAGAATTATGTGTCTACAATGTCTTTATTAAAAAAATTCATTACATTCAAATTCATCATTATATTCGCTACATTTTCCCTACAATGTCTTTATTAAAAAAAAATTATTCATTATCAATAAATTAATTAAGAGAAATAATTTTATTAGTTACATTGTCTTTATATTTCTCCAATGTAAAAATTCTTTACATTTAAATTCAATTCATCAATTGATTATATTCACTACATTGTCTATTATTTTTTTTTTGTGAACTATTTTTTAATTAAATATCAAAGTTATAATACAAAATAATGCTATATATTTATTTACCAAGTATTTTATTAATACCATGAAAAAATTAAAAAATATAATTAATAAAATCAATCATATTAACTACTAGAGAGATATGTTGACAAAGAGAGTATTCAAATCACACAACAGATTGAAGTGAGAACTATCTCGCAATGTCCTTATTTGACAATCAGCAGTTAGCGGTTAGCGTTAGTCGATTATATTAGCGAATTTGACTAGTGAATTATATCAACGGTTGGTAAAAAGATATTTAAAAAAATTAACTGTTTAGATTAACATGTAAAATGACCTAAGGGTATATATATATATATATATATATATATATATATATATATATATATATATATATATATATATATATATATATATATATATATATATATATATATATATATATATATATATATATATATATAATTGTTTTAAAAAAATAAAAAAATAATAAAAAATAATTAAGCCAATCATATTAACTACTTGGGGAATTTATTGACAAAAAAGAGTATTCAAATCACACAATAAGTTGAAATGGGACACTATCTCGCAATGTCCTTGTTTGGCAATCAGCAATTAGCTCTTCAATAATAGTATATATTTAATATTTTATAACCTAATTTTTGTTTGCTCTCTCTTATATCCTGTATTTGGTTTCAACCATACCTATACAATTATTTTATTGACAATTATAATCAATCTTGACTATATTATCTTGCATTTGTAAACTTAGATTTGTCTATTTAAATACGCAAATTTAACATTCAATTATCTATGCATGGACAATTCCAATAAAATCTTGCAATGATATACTTTAAAGTACTTATTAAAAAAAACATTGGGCATTATCCCAATCGCGCAATGCGCGTAAAAAACTAGTAAGGTTTATAAAGTTTAAATAGGAAGAAAAAATAGAGTTCCCTTCAAAAAAAAAAAATAGAGTTTAAATAGAGAGAATAAAAAAAACATTCAGAGTTAGATAGAAAGAAAATTTTGAAATCTTGACATTG